ATGGAGTAGACCGTGGGTCTGGAGGAGTTACCTGGAGTGAGTGTGATCACATACACTCTGTACATGGAGTAGACCGTGGGTCTGGAGGAGTTACCTGGAGTGAGTGTGATCACATACACTGTGTACATGGAGTAGACCGTGGGTCTGGAGGAGTTACCTGGAGTGAGTGTGATCACATACACTCTGTACATGGAGTAGACCGTGGGTCTGGAGGAGTTACCTGGAGTGAGTGTGATCACATACATTGTGTACTTGGAGTAGACCGTGGGTCTGGAGGAGTTACCTGGAGTGAGTGTGATCACATACATTGTGTACTTGGAGTAGACCGTGGGTCTGGAGGAGTTACCTGGAGTGAGTGTAATCACGTACATTGTGTACATGGAGTAGACCGTGGGTCTGGAGGAGTTACCTGGAGTGACTGTGATCACGTACATTGTGTACTTGGAGTAGACCGTGGGTCTGGAGGAGTTACCTGGAGTGAGTGTGATCACATACACTCTGTACATGGAGTAGACCGTGGGTCTGGAGGAGTTACCTGGAGTGAGTGTGATCACATACACTGTGTACATGGAGTAGACCGTGGGTCTGGAGGAGTTACCTGGAGTGAATGTGATCACATACACTCTGTACATGGAGTAGACCGTGGGTCTGGAGGAGTTACCTGGAGTGAATGTGATCACATACACTGTGTACATGGAGTAGACCGTGGGTCTGGAGGAGTTACCTGGAGTGACTGTGATCACATACACTGTGTACATGGAGTAGACCGTGGGTCTGGAGGAGTTACCTGGAGTGACTGTGATCACATACACTGTGTACATGGAGTAGACCGTGGGTCTGGAGGAGTTACCTGGAGTGAGTGTGATCACATACACTCTGTACATGGAGTAGACCGTGGGTCTGGAGGAGTTACCTGGAGTGATTGTGATCACGTACATTGTGTACTTGGAGTAGACCGTGGGTCTGGAGGAGTTACCTGGAGTGAGTGTGATCACGTACATTGTGTACATGGAGTAGACCGTGGGTCTGGAGGAGTTACCTGGAGTGACTGTGATCACGTACATTGTGTACTTGGAGTAGACCGTGGGTCTGGAGGAGTTACCTGGAGTGAGTGTGATCACATACACTGTGTACATGGAGTAGACCGTGGGTCTGGAGGAGTTACCTGGAGTGAGTGTGATCACGTACATTGTGTACATGGAGTAGACCGTGGGTCTGGAGGAGTTACCTGGAGTGACTGTGATCACGTACATTGTGTACTTGGAGTAGACCGTGGGTCTGGAGGAGTTACCTGGAGCGAGTGTGATCACATACACTGTGTACATGGAGTAGACCGTGGGTCTGGAGGAGTTACCTGGAGTGAGTGTGATCACATACACTGTGTACATGGAGTAGACCGTGGGTCTGGAGGAGTTACCTGGAGTGAGTGTGATCACATACACTGTGTACATGGAGTAGACCGTGGGTCTGGAGGAGTTACCTGGAGTGACTGTGATCACGTACACTGTGTACATGGAGTAGACCGTGGGTCTGGAGGAGTTACCTGGAGCGAGTGTGATCACATACACTGTGTACATGTATAGAATTCTCAAAAACTAAAAGTATTGTTTTTTTTTAAAAAGAAAATGATATTGTATTTTTATAAATCCTTAGACAAATTCTAGCATCACAGTGATGGTATTGAAACTATCTGCTTTGTGTTTAAACCTCTAAGAATAAGTTTATAATGTGTGCCAGTGGATTTAGGGCAGGGAAGAAAGTTGGACACTTTTTTGGACACACAGACTCTGTCCTAGATCATCTTTGACAACCCAAATCCATAGACTCTTCCTCCACACAATTGTCAGTATGGTCCTGAGAATACAACACAGCAATATTACGGCAAGTCCCAGGGAAGAAAAAGGATTTCTGAATTAGAAAGTGGTTGATTACACCCATGACATTTGTACCACTATTGAAACCACGGGCATATCTTGTCAGGCTGGTGGTTATTGGAGCTCACAGGGCTCATGGTTTCTTTCTAGCAGTTTATATTGCATTTTGTGGTGCTATGGACGTTCACCAGCATCTTCTCCAACAGCTTATATTGCATCTTGTGGTATTATGAAAGTTCACCAGCAGTGAGGAAGCGTCCGAGCCAGTACCAACTTGATTTCTCTGTGTCCTGTGTCCAAAGTATTAGACTCCTCAGCAATAGGACCTTATCCATCGAGTTCTGGTGGGCAACCAAGAGCGATGGGAATAGCTTACGTTGTTCTGGGGCTTCTGAGCAACAACTCCGGGGGAGGTACCCCACACCCGATAATGGTTTTTTGGACAAGCGTGATCCCCTATGTAGGGTAACTCCAATTAAACTCTTTTATGAAAAGTAAATAAATTAGGAAGCTCATATAAGCTCATGGCTTCCCATATGGTTTTCTTTGACATCCTTACTGTGTCTAGTCCTTATCACTCCTCTCCCCACTTGACCCCTCCCTGCTGTCCCTCCGTTTGCTTCCTGTCACTTATATCATGGGCCCCTCCTCCCTTAGGACTCCCCCCCCTTATTGAAGTGCTGTTTTACAGGGTGGAGTGTAATAGAGCCATGATGTATGTTTATGTGAAAACAAAGCTGACTCAGACGATTTCCGTGTTAAAGGAATAACTAAAACCTCCGGCTGGAGAAAGCACCAGAGATGCTTTAATCACTCTGGAGATCTAAAAGGATTTCCTTTTGAGTTCTTAAAATGGCACACCGCCTTCACATGAGTGAGAACGGGGAGGAGGAAGCCTGAAAGATTATTGACGCAATTACTGTGGGGGAAAAGCAAATGATTGTGAAATAATTTATCCTTCAAAATGATATGAAGCATCCGGGATGAGGTTTGGACTGCTTTCTCCTGAATGATCATGATGATTTTTCAGTTAATGTATTTCTTAATTAAAAGAAATTCATGCCTCAACAGTATCTCCTGCTGTGAATTATTATTTGAACAAAATATGTGGATGTTAAAAGATTTATATTATAAATTACATGACTTTGATCTGAATAGTGTTATAAAGCAAATAAATTGTACATAAAAGAAGTTTGTTTAAATTACATCTCATGAGATCCTTTAAAATTTAAAATAATTTTAAATTCATGTACATGTGTGATCATACATGATTATATTGTGCCATGTGCATCTGCAGATGTCAGAAGAGGATGTTGAGTCCCCTGTAACTGGAGTTGCTGGTGACTGTGAACCACCGTGTGGGTTCTGGGAACTGAACTCAGGTCCTCAGCAGGAGCAGTGAGCTCTCTGAATGACCGAGCTGTCCGTCTCTCCAGTCACTAATCTTATGAAATCTTAATTCTTGAGCTAATCTTGGGAGACAGTTTCCTTAGGTTTTCCAACCATAATTCATTCAGAGAAATGATTGTCAGGCCTAGGCTAGTCAGTCAGATCTTATCCTAATAGTCCTCAGGTGAAGAAGGAAGCAACCACTAAAATAATTGGTAATGTAATTAGTTAATTGCAGTTGTAGATTCTAGAACTGTTAGCTGTTTACAGAAGTGGTATTGCGTCTGGAGGGCCGATCTCAAGGAACACAGTGCTTGAAGGTTTCAATGCTTTAGAGCAGGCTTACTGCAAGGACCCTGAAGGAGTGACAACATTGTAGAGTCTGTGTCTACAGACAGGTTGATGAATGTGACAGTGCTGATCTTGTCCCTGCTGATATGAAACTATAGTTAGGACTCATTTGTATTTAGTTTTAAATCAGTGATTTTTTTTTAAAAAGTTTTTTTTTTCCCATTTTACATACCAATCACAGCTCCCCCTCCCTCCCCTCCTCCCACTCACTTCCCACCTTCCCTTCACCCTACCCCCCATCTGCTCCTCAGAGAGGGTAAGGCCTCCCTTGGGGAGTCAGCAAAGTCTGGCATATCAAGTTGAGGCAGGGCCAAGCCCCTCCCCCTGTATCAAGACTGAGCAAGGTGTCCCTTCATAGGGAATGGGCTCCAAAAAGCCATTCCATGCACCAAGGGTAGATCCTGGTCCCGCTGCCAGGGGCCCCATGTGCTGCCTGAGCCACACAGCTGTCACCCACATTCAGAGAGCCTAGTTCAGTCCCATGCAGGTTCCCCACACATCAGTCTAGAGTCAGTGAGCTCCAGCTCGCTCGGGTCAGCTGACTCTGTGGGTTTCCCCATCATGATCTTGACCCTTTGCTCATAGAATCCCTCCTCCCTCTCTTCACTGGACTCGAGGAGCTCTGCCCAGGGCTTAGCTGTGGATCTCTGCATCTGCTTCCATCAGTTGCCAGATGAAGGTTCTATGATGGCAATTAGGGTAGTCGTCGATCTCTTAAATCAGTGATTTTTCCTCTTGTTATCCTTAGATTAGAACTAAATCTGTGAGGCTGTTGAAGAGATCATGCTTCACCATAGCTGCTTCCCATCTCGTGTTTTGGAAGTTATCTTCTGATATTAAATATCTGTGTCTATGTAAGAAAACACTTATTCTAGGTTATATATTGAAACATTTGAGTGTTTGCTGAGGGTCATTTATTTTATGCTGTCTATTTTTTAAGATTTTATATGCAGATGTTCTTTTCCAACCTTTAAAATTTTATAAATTGCCTTCTGTTGTTATTTGATACAACCGCATCTCCCAGTAGAGGTAGGTCACATACTCATTTCTTGTGCTGTTTTCCTTTGTATGTAAAGTTTGTGTACGTGGTGTTTTTCTAATTTAAGTTTGTGTCTAAACTCAGAAAGAGAAAAGAAAATTGTGTTTTCCAAAGAGAAAGTGTAGTATAATCAAGATTTAGTTATATAAATAGTCTACTAGGCTGTGAGCAAATGCATGTTGTCCTATATTTCCCAAACTTTGAGTGGGGTTAAGATTTATACCCTAAATTTTGTGCTGATACAAGGTTTGGTGTCACGTGCTTCCTGCCAAGTGCGAACCGCAGAGCAGAGCAGAGCAGAGGGGCCAGTGCATTGGCACTAACTGCAAGTTTCTGTGTTTTCACAGGTCATTCTTGTCCAAGTTAACCCAGGGGAGACCTTCACCATAAGAGCCGAGGATGGAACACTGCAGTGCATCCAAGGTGAGGAAGGCGTTCGGGAAACATGCTAATCAAAGGATTTCCCCTTCATTATAAAGGAAGTAAAGTTTCCCTCTGTGTGTTTACATATGATTTTCTAAAAGCAATTATGTTTTCTCTTTATTCTTCTGTCATACGGTCTCAAATATATTATGATTCTCTTCACCTGATGCATCCAGTGATATTATGTATTGGATGCCCGTTAGTTATCCATGGCTGAATGGCATAATAAAAGATGTTCATCACCTCAGTTTCTGTGGACCAGGGAGTGGCTTAGCTGAAGTCAAAGTGTGGGTATGAGCTGCAGTCTTCTCACAGTTTTGGACACACATCCAGACACACTTGGGTCCTTGTTGGTGACATTTAGTTTTGTGAGGCTACTAACCTTGCTTCCTTGTTAAGTGGGCCTCTGCAGAGGGGGGTAGTGGACTTATATGGCAGCTGGCTTCAGTAGAGTGACTAACTTCAAGGTAAGAGGGAGTCAGAGATATGCTCCCCACCCCCCACCCCCCTGCAGAAGGGTAATCAAGGTCATGAATACCAGGAGGCAGCTGCCAACCACTGTTTACCCTGTGGCCCCATATGTGTTTTCATGCCTTTTCCACATGTAAAATGCCTCCTCCTGAGATCTCCAGAAGGCCTACCCTAGTATACTATCCTCAGAATCCAGACTCTTGTCCCTAAACAAGCTCCATGGGTGGGTGAGACTCTGTGAATCTGGGACATCCACTGGCTTCTGTTGCTGTGCTCCTCTCAGTGGCTCAGAGATCACAGAGATGTGTCTCGGGTGCGCTGATCCATGTGGAGTCCTGTCTGTAGTGGTGACACCAGCCCTACACCTGGACTCCAGCTGTGGCCATGTTGGAAAGTATAGCTGATGAAAGCTCTTCTTGGGAGCTGGGAATGTGGGGCCAGCAGGAAGTTGTGATGTGGTTGAGATCAGTATTAGGCTATTGGGGAGACTGAATCTAACCAGAGACTGACTTCCCACGCCTGGACTTGGTTACCAGTCCACATCAGGTGAGAGGAAATGTTCGACAGTTTTCCTTTCCTGTCGTGGGCTTCAGAGGAACAGTCACCTTTTCCTTTTCATTGTTGAGAAAACAGCAGCCTGCTTTATATGCAAGACTTCCTTGGATTTGGAAGAACAGTGACTTACAACTCAAAAAATAATGAACATATGTTAAAGCTTTAAGCCTAATGAATTTTAATTGGAGTTAAACTGGAAGAATTTAATGATTTTACTAATGACGTTTTGCTGACTGTACTTCTCGGGCCAGTGCTGTTGGAATTATTTTTAGTATTATAAACTTAGTCTTCATTGAGAAAAGTAGGATGAGACTTCAGGGCAAGGAAGAGAGAGAGAAACACTTTGAAATAGTGTGGGATAAGACTCTTCTCCCTCTTGTAGTACCGTCCTAAGTGGACCTGGTCTGCAGTTAAAAGCCTTGAAGGCCGTCTCTTCCGGACTCGCACTGGGAGATCTAGATGGAAACTCCTTCTGTCGATGGAAGTTGAGGTTTCCAGTTCAGGAAAAAAGCAGTTCCCAAATCCCAGCAACTAAGAGTTGGAACCAGGAAGATCTGGAGTTAGGGTCATCCTCAGCTACATCGTTAGTCAGAGTTCAAGGCCAACATGGGCTACAGTGGAATTCTACCTCAGACAAACCACCAGGTGCTTGAGTCTCTGGTTGTAGTAACAGTGGAGCCCCATGAAGTTTCCAGTAACCTGTGTGCACCCTCCAACTGAGAATGTAAGATAGAACATAGAAAAGCAAATTGCTGCATAGATCAACATAGAGCCTTGTAGTTTGTTTCATAGGAGTGTGTGTGTGATAGGAATGTGACTGTGTAGTGTCTGTGCGGACATGTGCGTACCTATTCATGGAGTTGACCCTTCCGTTAGAGTTTGAGTCCGTGTCAGTAACTGGTGTTGCACTCCACAGGCAATGTTGTAGGTCTGGTGCTCTGTTCACAAAGGGACCTTTCTGTTTATTCATGATGATTCTTGGTGATAAGTGATACTAACATCCTCCTAGTGATTTAAAAATGCCTTTGACTAAAGCAGAATGAAGTCTGCTTACCCTTGGCTGCCTCAGCCTTCTTATTCTTTGTTCTTTTCTGGAGACCTAGACTCTAAATTATCTTCGTTTGGGGCATGGTGGTCCCTAGTCTAGTTAATTGAAATGCCACCATACAGAATGAGAGAGACAGGGACCAGGAACATGTTCTGGGCCAGGGTTTTGGGGAGGACAGGGCAGCTGGGTGAACTTAGAAGTATGGAAGGAGAGTTGCTGGCGGGTGCAACCAAGTCTAGAGCACAGGCAGGCACCCAGGCGTAGACCCCCAACAACCTCCCCCTGAGTGCCGCTGTGAACTGTCCGGCCATATGTGTTGATACGGTCGGTCGGTCGGTCGGTCGGGTGTGGGGACTGGCTGTCCATTGCAGCTCTTGGTGCAGGCTGTTATGGCTTCCTTCCATTAACCGGATTTCATCCCTGTTGCTGTAACATTTATTCCACTTGGGCTGTACTGTGAGTGTTTTCCTTTAGCAAATGTGACAGGCACATGAGCAAGCTGAGGCCTGTATAAATTGATTCATATTCTGAAAGCTCATGCCCTGAGAGACCACTTTTCTTCCCTGGTATGGCTGACTCCATAGCCCGACTTCTTCATTTCCATGCCCTGCAGTTTTTTGTCAGGCATATTACATAAGAGGACTTGGGACAGGAGGCCAACAGGAGGACTCAAAGGCTAGAATGAAGCAGAGCTGCTTTGCCTAGCTGAAGACTGTCAGTTTGCTAGTGGACTGTGATGCACATGTTCAGGACATGCAGACTGTGTTCAGATCTTAAATTCTTTCTGTCCAGTGTCACGATTGGACTTGGCTCCCAAGTTGAGACTTCATTTTCTCCTTACTGGGAAAGGAGAGGTGTAGTGATGGAATCCTGGGACCAAGGAGAGGCCTTTTTCCCTTCGTGTGTGAGTGTGTGTTTGCACATTCGTGTGGTTGCTTGTAGGTACATGTAGCTGTCTGTGTGGGGGGGAAGTGTGTGGCTGTGGACACGTCTGTGACTGTGTGTGTGTGTCCGTGTATGGCTGTGTGGTTGTGTATGTATGACTGTGTGTGGACACAGAGGTGATGGGACAAGCTCAGGTGCCGTTCTGCGAGTCCTCTTCCCCTTGTTTTATAGGATGATCTCTTGTCCTGGAGCTTGTCTACTAGGTGAGGTTCTCTTCAGTGAGCCCCAGGAATCTACTGAGTCTCCTTCTCCCTAGCACTGGATTACAAGTGCACACCACTGTGCCCAACTTTTTGTGTGTTTTGGTTTTTTTCAAGACAGGGTTTTTCTGTGCAACAGTCTTGGCTGTCCTGGAACGCGCTTTGTGGACCAGGCTGACCTCAAACTCACTGAGATCCTCCTGCCTCTGCCTCCCAAGTGCTGGGATTAAAGGCATATGCTACCACTGCCTGGCTCACATGAGTCTGGGAGTTGGGCTCAAGCTTTTATTGCTTTCATAAAAGTTTATCCAGGGAGAACTGTCTCCCAGCCCCTTGTGCCCCTCAAAGCATAGGAGGAAAGAGTCAGAAGTTGAGCCCTATTGTACAGCCCTCTGAAAGAGGTGTTGCACTTTAGTTGGGATTAAATCGAAGCGAATGAGGTTGCTAGGGTTAATTTCTCGGTGTAAGTCGTCAGTGTAGGTGACCTTCCTGGAAGTTCTTAGGCACACACACCGTTTTCTGCCGTGATTGGAACCTCAGCCCGCTGACTTGGCTTTTGCAATGACAGCCAGTAGGCTGGAGAACACTTTTGGGGAAACTAGTGATAAAAGATTAGAGTTCTGGAAATTTTGAAATCATACTGAGGTCAGCCCTTTTGTTTATAATTTAATTGATTCGCCACATAACTTTCTCTGTATATCATTATGGCTTCACTAAAAAAGACCCCAGAAACTCAGCATGATGTCATTAAACAGCAACTTGGAAGTTGAAAGCAGATTAATGTTAAAGAGTATGATTGCTTTGGAAAAAAAAAAGATTTGTTTTTTGGGAATGTCCTTGGTGATAACGAAGGAAGAAAAACACAGGAAACATACAATATGCTGTGAAAGCAGATTCATTTCTGATGGAATATTTCTCAATATTTCCATAAAATATGAATCATAAGTGTTGGGGGGGCAGCAAAGGGCACAGCATACAGTCACTTGGAGACTGTTTGTACCTGTAACAGCAGAGGCAGGTACACACAACATTGTATAAAGAACCGTCAGGGAGAAGGGTTTTATAATCAATATGGATTCTGGCCTTTGCTTACAGTCAGGAATTAATAGACGGCAGCGTGGGTCTCATTATTTTCGTGTCGCTGTCTAAGCCGAGGCGCTGGCAGGGGAGCTTTCCTTCCTGTCCACACATGCCATCTCTTTATCTGGGCCATTTCTCTGCTCTCTGCAGAATCCTCCTGCCAAAACAAACACTCCGCTTCCTGGAAGGCCTTAGTCTGCCCGTTCCTAGAGCCCTTCTGGACCACTGCCCATCCACTTGACTTTTCTCTGGGCTAGGGAGGGGCAGGTAGAGGGAGCACCATACAGCTTGATAGGAATGTAAACCTTTCCCTAGCCCTGATAGAACACAAAGTCAGCACTCCTCCACCGTGCTCCCCAGCAGTCCAGCTTGAGTGCTGAGTGGACTCAGGCTAGTTTGTGTTATGCCAAGTGTGATTCCTTTACGTGTTACTATTTTAGTGAGAGTTTAATTATGTTGAGTTAATATGCTTTTCACGGTCCCAGAAATCTCCCCAGAACTTTTAAAATTTAAATCACACTGATGCTTGAAGTCAACTGTTTGCTTTAGAGAAACATTTAGTGACTTCTTTATATTCTTTAATTGCGATTCTGCAAGTTCATTCTCTTCCTCTCTCCTATACCCTCCCTTCCCACCTCCCCTCCCTCCTGCTTCCTTTCCTCCCCTGGTGCTGGGGATTGGGGCTTGAACCTAGTATTTTA